CTTCCAAAACCTGCCTAGCTAATTTATAATCAATTCAAGGGATGACCTAGTAGTAAGTAAACTATGGGCCTCCAAGTCCTAATGAACTTTCCAATCATTGAACAGTAATATATTTATTAGTTCCCTCTAACAAGCCCCACTAGTAGGAATGGGCAGGTTCGGAGCGGGTATCTCGATACTCATACCCACCCCATGGCAGGTCGGGTTCAGGTCGGGTAATTTATTACGGGGCGCGGATCGGGGCAGGTCGACCCAATGGGTATGTAATTTATGTCAAAAACATTAGAAATATTAGTTATTTCCATTAAAAGACCAAGAAAGAAACCATAATATGATAAAATCTAGTTAAATTATTGAAGAAATTGAGGTTTTCACTTAATTACGACTTTATTATAATGTAATAAGAGGAGAATCCTAAGTAATTTGACTAAGATTATATGTAACTTAGGCAAGAACGGGTCGAGAATGAGGCGAGTCAGGGCAGGTCGGGTCGATGAGAGATACCCATGCTCGCCCCGCCCCGCCTACAGGGCGGGTAACACAGGCCAAACAGGTCGGGTAAATCGGGTCAGGTCGAAATTGCCATCCCTACCCACTAGACTCATCCCAACCATCTAGCTATAGATAGATAAGGTGGAGGGGAGGCAAAAACTGTTTTAATGTGATTGGATTTGATGGGATTGCGAACCCACGAATCATCATACTTGTAAACCATCTATAGATAATCAGCCATTATACCAGATGACAATTGAGCACATAGAAATATAATTAATGGAATTACTAGACAAATTAATTAATGGATCTCTCTAGCTAGTTTTGACTTTGGTGGAGGAGCAAGATCTTCTTAACCCAAGAAATTATGGGCAGAGAAAGTTGTGTTGTGCTGGGCCACAGATGATTATGATGATTTGGCATATATATATGTGTGTGTGTGGAGTGAAATTTCTAGTCAGTACTGCTGCGGCTGCTGCTTGGTGGTATGGTAGTAGTGGGTTGCCGGCTAGCTTTAGGCTAGTTGGTGAATGGTGTAACATTTACATATTATGTTATCCAAATTTTCAAGGGCTGTAAGGTCTCCAGCAAGGCGAGTGAGTATATACTACATATTATCTGCGGTCCTAAGAGATAGATAAGGTCCTCTCTGGATTTCCCATTCTTCTTTGTCACTTTATCCCTCTCTCTCTCTCTCTGCTCTCTACGGTGTACTCTTCTTCACAATCACCACCACCCAAATTATTACAAACATTTTTACCATAAAAATTGTTTATTACAAACTTAATCACTATTCACTGCCCATTACACCGACCAAGAGATAGTTCAACCGTAAAGTTTGTTGGTTTCGATATCGAAATCTCAGGTTCGATTCTTAGGGGCATAAGAATAAACCCTTTAATAGCACTATGCTCTCACCTCGGTGGTGATCGTGGAGAGTGCTCCTCGTTATAAAAAAAAATGGCTGACTGTAAAAGTTTCAATTCATCTAAAAAAATGTTGTGAGTTAACGTTATACGTGTTGTGGTACAAGAAAGGTCAAGCATGCATGTGTTTAAGTTTTTTATAACGTAACTCTTGATGTAAGTGATTGATTTAAACACAAATATGCAATCGATTTATGTGTGACTTCAAATAAGATTGGTGTTATAATATATATCTACTACTGGACTTATCATCATGATAAGTTGATAACTCAGAATTGAATATGAAAATGGATTGGGTTCTCACCTAAAATTGGATTCGAATTATCCAAACTACTAATTTAATTATTTACGGCATCTCGAACACGACTTGACCTCAGAAAAACAAAAAGGAGCACTAGTAGTCAAGTACGTGGTACATATGGGAACCGTGGCTTTGCAATAATTTCGTTTGAGGTAGAGGATGTGTATCAATCGTTATTTATTTGAATTATGTTTTGGAACCATATGAGATATTTACAAGGGAGGGGAGGGAAAGGGGACACAAACATTTTTTTCGGTTCAAGTTACCGATGTTCTCTTCCACTTCCAAAAGATATTTGTGGGAAATATCTCAATTCAGAGTTCAGAAAAAAAAGAAAGTGGTGCCACTGCCACAACTATAATTTCTTCTTCTCGAGTATTTTCTTTTTCGAAATTAAAGAGGTAAATAAATAGGAGAATAAAGAAAAGAGATGAGCTTAGGTTGGATCCATGTAGGTGATTAGCAATAAACACACCACGATCATCATCATCATCGAACATCAATACTCTTTGCAAGAATGCATTTAGCTACCCATATGTTATAATGGCGGTGTGCACATCAATTCCTTATATAATCATTCATACTGGACACATCAATAGGTTGAAACTACGGTATTCTATCTTTAATCAAAATTATTAATTAATTCTCTCACCGTTAGTATTTTCACAAACAATAAACGAGAGAAATTATGCTTTTATTCGTATTTGACTATTGGTAGAGATCTAACATTGGAACATACCAAATCAAAGTTGAAGGATGAGGTAATAAACACCGTACTATATACCATATGGTTCAAGTTATAGTGTTCCCTTTATTACTCGTTGGACTCCAAATCGATTTGTGCATGTCTAACACTCAATTTACAAGTTACATCAAGCACCAATACTATGAGGATGACTGTGGATAAAAAAAATTATGAGGATTACCAACATTTGAACATACAACCTTTCGATTATTTGAGCTTCAAATGCATATTGAAAACAAATTAATCTTAATAACTCGAACTATGGTAGGCCAACAACCGGTTTTCCACTGAAATTCTAGTTGTTTTGAGGTATCCAACTTCAAGAATGAAGATGAAAGCTCAGGGTTGGATCTTAGAGGTGCAAGCACGAAAGTGTATCAAAATAGAGGGAGTTAAGAGGTAGTATGCATGGTTATGGTAGATTGTGGTGGGATTTGGCAATATAAGTTTTGGATGAGTAGGGTATGTCTAATCACAAGCCAATGAATGTAATTAGGGGAACGTAGAGGCGCAATCTGCCACACAAAGTCAGACTGCCCAATAAGACACCAAAAACCGCTCCTCCCCAATCATTCTTCGTCTTTTGGTTCACTTGCCTTGATACACGTGATCGATCCTCGTCTTCTTAACCCCTTCAAGTAAAAGACACAACCCTCTCTTGTAGGGCCCTGGAAATCCAGACCACCCAATGGGATCCCGCCAACTCAGCAGATAAGAAACTTTTGCCTCAAAGTACTTCCTTCTTATGGAATGTGAGAGAAAGAGATAAGAGAGAGAGGGGGTGAGAAGGGTTTTCATCCTGAGATTTTCTTTTTCCCTTGGCGAGATTTTGGATAAAATCCACCAAACAAGAACAAGAACAACTCATATGCCCATTCCATCCCTTGCCCATCCATCAACCACCAACTTTTTATTTCACTCCTTATTGTAATGTCATTTGCAAATGTTAGATGAAGTTTGAAGTTCAAGTTTATGAACTCTGCAATGGGCTAGGTTGGATGAACTCAGAAGGGGACCAAAGTTTATGGTATGGTTTGTGTACAATTGAAAATCAATCTTTATATCCTAGTTTCATAATTTGATAATCGTTATTTATCATTAAAAGAAGATTCTTACAAGCAACCATACATCTACACCTTAAATCGTACATTCAAATACACCATTGGTCCATTTGAGACACTGTGCATTTTAAAACTTTGTCATTCTTAATGGCCTGTGCCCTTATGTACAATAATTATTCGACCCAGTGATGGACCAAGAAATTACATCAAGAGTATTCAATTATGTAATAAAATCATGGGTTAATACCTTATTTTGGCCCGAACTATGACCATATAATCAACTTTGGCCCGTGGTTTCAGAAATTAACATCCTGGCCTCAACTATGCAGCATATAGACTCAATTGGCCTGACACATAGTTTGACCATCAATTTGGACGGTCAACTCCGTTGACCGTTAGTCAACATGCCATGTCATTGCCTAGTCAGCCTAAAATTTATTAAAAAAATTTAAATTTAAATTATTTTCCTAATTTCTATTATTTATCATTTTACAATTAACCAAAAAATAAAATTCTAAAAATATAAAATAATTTTTTTGTGATATTTGAAAATGATAAATTTTATAAATTAATCAAAAATTATCAAATTAAATTTTATAAATTTAAAATTTATGATATAAATTATATTTTGGTGGGAAGTTTTAAAAATATAAAATAATTTGATAATTTTTGGTTAATTTATAAAATTTATCATTTTTCAAATTATCCAAAAAATAAAAAATCAAATTTATTTTATGTTTTTTATAATTTATTTTTGGTTAATTTAATAATAAATTAGAAAAATTAGAAAAATAATTTGAAATTTGCATTTTTTTAATGATTTTTAGGTTGACTAGGCAATGACGTGGCGTGTTGACTAACGGTCAACGGAGTTGACCGTCCAAATTGACGGTCAAACTATGTGTCGGGCCAATTGAGTCTATATGCTGCATAGTTAAGGCCAGGATGTTAATTTCTGAAACCACGGGCCAAAGTTGATTATATGGTCATAGTTCGGGCCAAAATAAGGTATTAACCCTAAAATCATCAAGGATGTCAAATAGTCTTGAGTTCAAATACTACCATCATTAAAATAAAAATTTACAAAGAATTTTTGTCTCAAAATTGGAACAAGGTTTGTCAATTGACAAGGATAGGCCTAACCTAGGTCCGCTCCTGATTCAACCCATTACGGGATGAATTAAGTCAGACGTGATTGTCTAGTGCTACTGAAGATATACTCATTCTAAGAAATCAAGAAATTTGAATATAGTGACATGAATGACCATCAAATCTTAACTCTTTAGTCGTCCTAATAATAATTTTATTTATGAGAGATTTTCTCGATTACAAGAGGATATACTTTGGCTTGGCAAAGAGGATACATAAAAGTCCATATTTACTTGGATTCCACAACCCCCGTGACGATGAAGAATTGCAGAGAAAATGAACATATGTATGGACTCATAACGCAACAAATTGATTTTATTTGAACTGGGAGTAGAAGGTGTTAATCTCTTACATATATAAAAATATAATTTTGTCACCGATGTTCTAGCTAATGAAAGACACTCCTATCCTTTTGACACACATCAATTTGAGGTGAGCCACCCAAAACTAAAGATATTAACTTGCTTATGGTGTAATCCGACAACATTTATGCTAATATAATTTGTGCCTTTGATGATGTCTTACTGCCCAAAAAAAATAAAATTACTAAATAACATTCACCTTGCTAGTTGCTACCCAATCTACAGCCAAGCAATATCCCTCCGTTGAATTGGCTCAAACGAGAGATGATAATTAGAGGCCAAAACACAACGAAGGCCCCACCTCTGCAAACAACGCTTGTCTTTTCCTCTGTTCCCATTTTCCCACCATCCCCCTTTCTCTCACTCGCAGGCCTTCACAGCTTTCCCGGCTCCGCTGGCTGGCAAAGGCAAAGCCCACTCAGCTCATCCTTGGCCTTGGGGAGAAGAGGGCGAGAGAGAAGGCTATGTTTCTGTCCCCTGCCTCTTATATCTTCACTCTCCCCACTGTCCCAACTTTTTAACGGCCTTCTCCTCTTCTTCTCTGCCCGTGACCTCTTCTTCTTCTTCTTCTTCTCTGTCTTTGGGTAGACTTCCTCTGCCAAAAAATCCCCCCTCCTTTCCTCATTCAGCTTCACTTCATCGCCTGGGGTTTTCCCAAGGGTTTTTGGGTTTTCCATTCCCAGACGTACCATGTTTTGCAAGCTTTCCAATTTTTGTTCCTGTTAGGTAGAAATGAAGCTTTTTTCTTCAGGGGTTTTGAGTGGTTTTTGCCGTTTTCCTCCCTACCTTTTCTACACTTCCTCCGGCTGTATCCTATTTGGTTCTACTCTTCCTCTAGTTTCTTCCACCCAATAAAATATTCCTCCCCACTGAAAGATTTTGGCTTTTCTCCCCTTTCCCCCCTACAGGGTTTAGGGTTTTGGTAATTGTTCTTTTGCTTCTTTCACTCACTGAAAGTCTGCTCCTTTTTTCCCCCTCCTGGCCGAGTAAAACCTTCCCCTGTTCTTCTTTCCTTGCAACAAGAATGTCTTCCCCCTGTTTGAGTGGCGGAGGCGGCAGAGCCTATGGAGGATTCGACCTGGAAATCGTGAAATCGACTTCCTCCAGAACTTCCCAGACAACCTCTTCTTCCCCATCTTCAACCCTCTCGGAATCTAGCAATTCCCCCTTAGCAATCTCCACTAGAAAGCCTCGTACACCTCGCAAGCGCCCCAATCAGACTTACAACGAGGCCGCTGCCTTGCTCTCCACTGCCTACCCCAAAATCTTCCCCGCCGCAGCCGTCCCCACATCCAAGCCTTTCTCCCCTCTCCCCCTCGATTCCTCCGAATTGCTGTTTTTCCCAATTCGGGAGAAATCCAAGGACCCCAAATCGGCGGCCACGACGGAGGTGAGCTCGCGGGACAATTCGTGCCAGAGCAGCAGCGTCGCCGATTGGAAGGAATTGTGCGGCGGCGGCGGCGGAGGAGGGTACGATGAGGACGAATTCGACGCGGAGTCGATTCTCGACGAAGAAATCGAGGAAGGAGGGATCGATTCCATTATGGGGAATCTGAGTGTGGTGAGCAGCAGCAGCGTAGGGGAATCGGTCAATCAGAGCCAAATTCCGGGCTTCGTTTACGGGTACCCTCCCGGTTTTTCCAGCCGGAATTTCCACCAGTGGGTCGGCAATGGCGCCCCTGCCAGCAGAAACAGGGGAGGAATCAGGGCGTTTAGGAGGGTGGACGATTGGTGGAGCTACCCGGTGGTCGATGTCCTCCAAATCTCTCCCAGGCTCAACTCCACCAACCGCCGGTCGAGCTCCAGCTTCGATGTCCTTCCCGGCGGCGCGGAAAGCAACGGCAAGGCGACGGTGAAACAGAGTCTTCCTGGTTCCGGGGAGAAGAAGAAAAGCAGCAGTAGTAGTAGCAAGAAGAAGAAGAAAGTGGAGAAATTGGAAGAGAATGAATCGAAAGCTGCAATTTTGAGGGAAGAAGAGGAGAAATCCAAGGCTGGGAAATCTGGGTTGCTGCTGAATTTGAACTACGATGAGGTTTTGAAGGCGTGGTCGGGGAAAGGGTCGCCGTTCCCGGAGGATTTGGACGGAAATGATGTTTCCGTACGTTTCTCATCTCCTCCTCTCCCGCCGGCGGGGAATAAATGAATAGTTTTACCCTCCTTTTTGCGCTTTTTCTTTTCGCCTTCTCTCTTTCTAATTTCAATAAACAATTAGCTTAGCTTTTTTAAAATGACACACTATAATTATTTAATTATAAGTGTACTCTACTTACTACTCTTGTGTTACATTTGCCTAGTTTAATTATGTTAAATCAAATTCCTTTGGGTTGTCTAATTCACAAATTGATTTTTCCCCCCACTAAGCCAATGCCCAAATGAAAGGATGACCTACTTTTCTTTTTATTCTCTGTTTTTTTTTTTAGTTTTGTTTTGTTTTGTTTGAGCTTTGAAGAAATGGTACTTTAATTTTACAACAAAGATACGAGCTTTCTTCTTTTTATCCTTTTACCCTTTTGTTGGGATTAAAGTGGTTGAAAAATGAAAGTAGTGGGTAATTAACTAAATTTCAAACGAATGTCCAATTCTTTGGTTATAAACACGTGTGATAAACTTGTCGGTTTGGTTAATTTAATAACCATGAAAAATTGGTTTGGTGGGGGGCATGTTAATACATTAACTGAAATCACGATGAGAGGAGGACAAAAATATATTGGGGAAGTAATTATTTGTGTAAATAATTAGATAATTGACAACGCAAGCATTATAAATTAATTAATTGACTAGCCATGACGTTAACATAAATAAAAATGAAGAGGAGATCGAGGAGGGACTGATGTGAGCAATATGGGACATAACATAAATCTATTTAATATCAAAATGTGCCAATGTGGTGACGACTTGATGAATTATTGAATTCATCACCAAAGGCCCACACATTGTACAATGTTGGTTTTGTTAGGTAACAATGATACATTTGTGGATTGACTCAGTGGCTTAATGACTCTAATTTTTGTGTTATTGTTGTTATATGTGGAGATGCAGACTAAAGTGGCGCAAATCGACTTATTTTCACTGGATGGTGGAGTGAACGATGGAATCAGGGAAGCGAGTGTGTTGAGATACAAGGAAAAACGTCGGAGCCGGTTGTTCTTCAAGAAGATCCGCTATCAAGTTCGCAAAGTTAATGCCGATCAACGCCCCAGAATGAAGGTAGGTCGATAAACGACTTCAATTACAAGTAAGCTGAGTATTTTTCAACTATTAAAGTACATTTGATGATAGATGGTATTTTAGTACATTAGGGTATGCTATTATGCACTAGCAAGCAAATTTATTTTTCAATACAATTATACGATTTGAATTACAAGTAAATTGAATGTTTTCATCTATTAATATCTTTGAAAAAGATGATATTTTAGTACATGAGGTTACACTATTATGCACAAACAATCACATCTCTTTTCGTACCATTATTATTCGCTCACCCTTTTTCTTCTTCTATCTAATTCATTAACTACCAATTTCCCCACTTCTTAAATAATTCAACCACCATTTCATTCCCTTTTCTTTCTTTGAGAATTCTCCTGCCCATCTCTCTTTTTTCTCCATGGATCCTTGTATCTGTCATTAATTAATGATTATGGACTTGTTGTATCTGATCATTGATTGTGGTTATATCATTATTTAGGGTTGTTGATAGCTTGTTAATAAATTGTACAAAATGTGATTATGGTACGAATCCTTATTAACTAATGGCATTCTTGTGTTTTGTTGTGTAGGGCCGATTTGTGAGAAGGTCAAACTCTATCAGAAGCGAGAGAAGTAGTAGCCCTAGCAGTAGTAGCCAGAACGACGACGAACTATAACACCCATCACATCTTTAAATAACTTTCGTAATAATAATATTATCTCCATCAATCATCACTTTTTATATATTTTTTGTTCTTGCAATTTTGTTCCGGAAGTATCTGATTCGATAATATCATTTCAAAACTTGAGAGTATATGAGATATGAAAGTTGAGCTTGTCATTACACAAGAGAGTGGGAGAGAGAGAGAGAGAGAAATGATGGGGGAAGAGGGAGAGGGGAATATTATTGTTATGCTTAGCTAATAGCTAGGCCAAGAAATAAACAAATGTTGTTCATCACTTGTTCTATTAATTAATTTGTATGATTATTTTCCATACTTTGTTAGATCCATTTTTATGGGTTTAAAGCCTTTGTTAAGGGCTCAGGCTGCCGGGCTTGTTTGCTGTGCCAGGCCAGTTTTGGGGTTGGGCCCATTCCACACCAGCCTTCCCTAATCCCTCATGTTAATTTGTTGAAGATTAATTGAGATGATCCATTGTTCATACAAAACCCACAAATGCAGCTACATATGCAGCCTCTGCTTGACAGGAGGAAAAAAAAACATAAATGCCTTATAAGTTATAAGTATAATCCATTTGCCCATTCCTTCTTGAAGATTATTTGTTGATAATTAGATTCGCACAATTTTATATTCGTCGACAGCCACAGACTTATGTTTAATGTCGAAGACTCGGAGTTATATCTTTATGTTAACCATTAATTTGTGTATGACACATAATTAAAATTTCCGTTGCTAGCTTATTGATGTGATGCACTTTCTGTGATCAAAGCTGAGTAATTAAGTTCACTGATGCATTAGCCGATGCGGGGAGAGCATTTAGTTTATTGATTAGTGTTTAGTCAGGTAATTAGTGGACCAAGGTTGGTATTCGCGCCAAGAGTATCCTATATACCCCGTTCCAAATTCCCCATTCCCGCGTGTCATCACAATTCGCTTATTAGGTTTTCTTTTCCCCAAATCAAATATGGGGGAACAGAAGAAACAGAATTGAGGGCCACGGGATCAAAGCTCCGCCCGCCAGTCATGACCGCCGGCGCCGGCAGAACGCCGACTGGATAGTAAACTACTTGCTTTCGCTGCTTATACTTCAACCAATCAAAACTCGTGCCGGTAACGTTTCCTGTTTCTCATCTAATTTATCTGTCAATAAACCCAAAGAGACGAATCTTTCTCACTCGCTGTTCAAAACCCAATTCCCGGAATTCCATGAACTGATTGGGATTTCCGATTCTGTGAAAACACCCCCTTCAGCTTTGATTCTGAGCTTACTTTTCCCAGCGGGTCTTTGATTGTTCGTGAATGGGATTGCCTGCCGCTTCTGTGAATTAGTTCTGCCCTAAATCGCCATGGTAATTTCCCCAAACAAGCTGCACGAATCAACAGGACAATCGAACGAAGAGGATTCAACCCAACAACAGCGACCATCGATCTTCACCAATTTATCTGGGATCACAGCGCCTATGCTTGTCTACGAGAAAAGGAAGCTTTCTCAACCATCAACCATCGCCAATGCCTCTGAGATTACAGCGCCTGTTCATGTGTATAAGAGAAGGAAGCTTCCCCAACCATCAAGCAGCACCAATGTATCTGAGATTACAGCGCCTATGCATGTGTATAAGAGAAGGAAGCTTCCCCAACTATCAGACAACACCAATGTGTCTGCGCCTATCCATGTCTGCAAACGAAGGAAGCTTTGGCAGCCATCAACCAGCACCGATGTCTCGGAGATTACGGCGCCTATGCTTTGCTACAAAAGAAGGAAGCTCTTACAAGCATCACCCATGGCTAATGTATCTAAGATTACAGAACCTACCCTTGTCTACAAAAGAAGGAAGGTTACCCAACCATCCTCTATGCTTGTCTACAATAGAAGGAAGGTGAAAAGAGGGAAGAACTCTTTCCGTTCTTCCCTTAGTCATAGTGTCAATGATAGCTGCTCTTGCTCACCATCAAGATCAAATGTGGACTTCAATTCGGCATGGCTAAGTAAAGAAGGGGAAGATGATACAGCTGAGAGTTCTTCTTCATCTGCATCTGGGAGGGATATATGCCTTTCAATTCTTGTAAGGCATGGAGTGATCAAAGAAGTTTTGCCTTGTAGGGCTTCTGGTCCCAGGATAGGAATTGGTGGCATGGGTTGTAGGCGGTGCAGGGTTTGTTCTCGTTCAGATTCCACAAACAGGATGCTGCTTTGTGATGATTGTGAGGCGGCATTTCACTTATCTTGCATCAATCCTAGGATAAGTGTAGTTCCTGTAGATGAGTGGTTTTGCCATTCATGTTTGACGAAGAAGAAACCGAAGGTGTGGAAGGAAGCTGCTGAATGTGCTTATATTATTGATGGAGTGAAGGGATCTTTGAGATCTGTGTCTGCAAGCGGACCGTCTCCTATTGACTTGATGCTGAGTGATGATGAGCCATATGCTAGCCATGCTCGTATTGGTAAAAGGTTTCAAGCTGAAGTTCCAGACTGGTCAGGTCCAGTTTTGTAGTATGTATCAAGTCTGATTTTGTCAATCACAAGGGAAAGTGTGGTCAGAATGCCTGTCCTTTGTATGCAAGGAACCATTTTGCTTCTTCTTTTGTCACCTTTTTAGCTGGATTGAAGATAAATAGAATACCAGATATGATAGTTTAACATGTAGTAACTTTGTTGGTCGATTTCTTCAATGGATATAAGTGTCTTTTGCTTTCCATGTTTCTCATGTATCTTCTTCCGATGGAATGAACATCAATTTCTCATGTACCTCTATATCTTTCTCTATTGCTTTTCATATAGGTCAGTTATTGTTTTTCCAGAATTAGACAGTGTAACTCTAGTATCTTCTGTTTAAGCGCAGTCCTTGCTGAGAGAAGTCATAGTTTCATAGTTATGTAATGAATGTTGGCTGCAGTGATCTCAACGACTTTGTTGAGTCTTTCAAAAGGAATTCATTCATCTTGACTAATTCACTGGAGGGTTGTGGTCTGGTTTTAGCTAATAAGTAATTCCAATTAGCAGTATACTCGCCTTAAGTTGTGTAGAACTCAGAAAGGACACCCTTATATAGGATCTGAAACATAGCAAGCCTTCTAAACGTGGGGACTTGTTCTAATTGTCTCCAAGGGAAGGATCAGATGTGCGAAGGGGTGCAAGACTGCAAGTAGTTCAAGTTTTGTGGTGCAGATGTTCATCCATGTGATGACTATCATGAGAATGCTGATTGAAGCGCTGAACTCCGAAAAAATTGCAGTTGGGACTGAATTTGGATAGCCCGAGGATGCCTCATGAAGTATCAGCTTGAAGCCTTGAATCAAGTATGCAGATATTGGGCAGTTATTGGTGCATTCCGCATGTAATGTCAATATCTAGCTTAAGGAAATAATCATACTCCAATTGTTTGGCCATTTCTTGTTTGACCTATTATGCATAGTCATTTGCTCAAGTGGCAGACTCTGCAGATACGCTTCTCTCTCTTTTGAACTGATATAAAGAAGTTCCTGCCATTTTTTAGGCTGTCATAGATGTGCTTGAACTGATGAACCAGCAACTTTGCATGCATTTAGATAAGGTTACAGGCAATAAGAACTGGAAGTAGTGAGTGTTGGAAGAGATGGACATCAACAACATGCATTTCTGATATTTCTGTTGCTTTAAGTCTCGGGTCTTGGGTGCCTGAAAGTAATGTATAATGGTTATCACTAGTTTGAGCAGAATTTCTCTGTTTATTGCAATAACTTCCACTTCATTATATACACAACACACAACATAGACTAACAGAGGTTTAGAAAAAGCCTTGACAATGCCTTCATATATGCTGACCTAAAAAATATCCCAAAATGCAGGATGCTTGGTAAAAAATGTTACAACTGGTTAGTGAGCATCTCAAACTGCTATCCTACTGATAACTTTAATAAATTTGGTAAATTTCTAAACTTCAACCTTCAATGCCTAGCTGTCGATAGAGAAAAAAGTGCTATCTGCAAAGGCTAAGCTGAGTTTATCCAATTGTCATAATCTTCTCCTTTAGCTCGGCAGTAGGCACATAAACCACTCTTTCTTGAAGAACATGGGTCTTGGACCTCCTACGTTTGCTGATCGGCAGACTCACCAGAAACTCCCTCATGTTGTCTATGGTGTCTTTGGCTCTACAAAGTCTTTCCATCTCACTCTCAGCCAGTTCATGAAATGGAGACTCTGGAAAATTTGAGTCGGAATGCTTCTTCCCTACACTTGATTTCTCTTCTGGCAGAGTCTTCAAGCTCGGATCATCACACTTTTGGACTTCTATCTGTATGGAACAGGGAAATTGAATGTTCTTTTAATCGTTACACACCGAGAAAACAATGGTTACAGAAAGCTAGCAGCTTGATTCCAGTGTTTCTTATATTGTGATGCCCTAGATCATATTTGCTAAAATGCTTCTTCCCATTTACCTCACTATTTCCCGCCTTTGATTCAAGGGAAACTTCTGTTGGATCAGGTTCCTTCAGCATGCAATTAGATAATAGCTTCTTCTTTGGGAGCACATCTTTTGAAGTCCTCGTTGTATGTAACCCAGGTTCAGTTTCGACATCTGAAATTTCAGCGCCTCCACTCTTATTTTCATTTCCTGTTGATTCACCAGAAATCTTAGGGTTGGAATCACTGCACTCTGGTGTTTTGTCCGTCCGACTCTGGCAAAAAATAGAATCACCAGTAAGCTCCAAAGAACAATAAATACTCTGAACAAATCTTCCAGGAGACTGAAAAAAGTAACACGAAACTGACAACAGAAGTTACAGCACAGGACATATGTTGGCAAAATCAAGCACCAACTCACCTTTCTGGATCTCAATGCCAGGTATCGTGCATTCTTGAACCATTTGCTGACCTGGAATTGCAACTCCAAGCCGTGAAAATCATATGGGGGAAGGAATAAATAACAGTAACGCACTATTCTACTCAGTTTGAGTATCACCCATCAATGCTGATCCACACACAACTTCAATGCATTGGTTTGTCACTTAGGTTCATACCTTTCCCATTTCAAGACCTAACTCTTCTGAAAGCTTCTGTTTAACTGTTGTGCAAGGAAGTTCATTTTCCTCAAAAACTAAACGTAGTTTCTGAAAGAAAGCGCAAAATGTTGACATTACATTTCAGCAAAGCTAAGAATCAGAACTGGGAAACAGGTAAACAAGGGATGAAGATGTTGGCACCTCAACTGCACTGGGGGGAATTCTAGATAGTGCCCTTCGAGCTCGAGAATCTTGAGGAAATTCCTTTTCTCCTTCCAAAGTCTCCGCCTTTTTCCTTTGTCTTTTACTTACATAGAGAGTCATAAGCGTGCTAGCTGCATCTGACTCCTTTTCCCTCTTTTTCCTCTTGTTAGGACCCCAGTCTTCATCTTCACTAAGTTGGTCAGCTACAGGAGCATCCTTCCCAAACATTTCCTAGAACAAGCAGAAGTCCAAATGAATATGTCAGTAAGTAGAAAGCTTCAAACCTTCTGGACTTTGCGGATATTCCCTATTTATATCAAGGCAAAAGGCTCTACCAGAATCCTTAAGATTATAATACTCACGTCATACAATTTCCGATAATCAACTGCTCTGCGCTTTCTGCGGCCGCACATGATTTCAACATCACTGGATTCATCAGAATCTAAGCTACTATATATTGACTGGTTTCTGAACCCCATTCCCTCGACATGCCATCTTCTGGATCCAGAAATAGCTTCATCATCTGAAGACCAACCCAAGCTAGTGGAGCTGCTAGCATTATCCGACTCATCATTGTCCGTTCCTGCACCACTCATGCTATTTTCCTTCCTTTCTGGATCATAATTTTCATCTTCAGAGTCATCTGAAGGCCATTCTTCTTCAAGTGTTAAAGTATTCGCACCATCAGGAGCTGCTGCATCTTCCTCGAAAAGATCCTACTTCAGCAACAACAACAAAAAAAAAGCGTTATTGTAGTTAGAAAAAACCCAAAGAAAGATATTTTCATGATTCTTCTGTCCACTCAAACAACCTGCCATTCGCAATTCATTGAGTATTCGGTCCCAAGGTGTGCATTCATTAGGTCTATGATCTCCATTCTACGTTCGCAAAGCTTGCAGAACCATCCTTGGTCTCCAGGGGGTACTGCAAACGCCCAACAGAGCAAAAGCATTAGGGAGAACCTCTTCGTCATTTTGCCCAAATTCAAAACACAGTATAGGAGGGTGGATATATTACTGTTTTCGGTGTGAAGTGGAGGTTCAAGGCACATTTGATGGAAGGCACAATTGCATGTCCCGTCACAGAGTATAATGTCGTTATCTTGGACTACTTCATTTGATTTGCACTTTGCACAGAAGATCTGAGAATGATAAGTAACAGAAAGCATGAGTGCACGAAACTTATGATAATCCTGGCTGTGAACAGAAATATAGCATCTGTGATACTGATAATGCATGCTTACATATTCATGGGATACTGATCCATCTGGGGCCATAACTGAGTCTTCAATACATCCAACTGCACTAAGCAAATCAAGCTGGCGGATTGCATCCCGTATTCCAAGTTTGCACTTCAAGATCTGTTTTTTGGCTCTTAGTAGTTCCTTCTCTGGCCTGATCTTCTCTCGACTGCAGCAGAATTTACATTGTAAGAGTTAAGCACACATAAGTTCCCCAAAAACTCGCTTCTTTCAGTTGCATATTCCAAAATCAAACATACCTAACTTTGACTTCTCTTAGGTATGTTTCAGGGTGTCAGAACTCAATGCTAAAGATTTAAGGCAGATAAACATTGGTGAAGCTCAAATAAGAAAAGGAAGTGCCTAATGAAATATCTGCTGCTTCTTTCCTTTAATATCCCAAGTCGGTGTAACAAATATAGCAGTGTCGATGATATTTGAATCAAACCTAAGTTGGTCTGGTTAGTGTTGATTCTAGTAAAGAACTTCATCAGGCAAAAGTAGCTTCTTCACAAACTTAAGAAACTAATTAGACATACAAATCGATCAAAGCCCATTTTACATACTTATTCGGAGAAATTCATAAAAGCAGATTAATATCTTATAGTTTCTCAAAATCAACCGAAACGTGAAAAACTTTGTTACCTGTGGCCTTTCCATCCTTCTCCACAGTAAGCATCTATAAGGTTCTGCTCCATCTTCATTTTAATCATTAAATACCTTGTTCTCCTTTGCAACTGTGATGGTTCATCTAGCTCTACCTTAGTCATTCGCCTTCCATCTATCCTTCTCCTTTTGAATTTTCTCTTGGTAGTCTCCTTGTTAGCATTCTTGTCATTCAACTCAAAACATATGGAAGTAGACGGTGCTGACTTCTTTCCGGACCTTTTATGAAGTGCTTTGCGCACACTCTTACCTCGGACCAACTTTCTAGACCTAATACCTTTCCGGATCACCTTACTTGGAGGACGAGTGACTGTCTTCTTTGATATTTGTTTCTTACCGAGAGCGACCCTGGTACCATGTCTGGATTTCAATGATGCAATTAACAAGGACCCATATTCTGCCTTGGAGAGAGTAGCTTTCTTGAATGACTGATCTGCTACTTTCTTCGCGATGCTATGCATATCTATATCTCAGATTTTACAGCTGAAAAAGAGTTTGATTATATATAAATAAACATAGAGTAGCATATAACAAGATGCAAACTTTGCAGCTGAACTTCATCCTAGTAAAGGATATCTATGGCTTCTAATTAAATTAGCAAATGTATAAGTAAGAAGGAACCCAATTCTGGAAATTGCAAGCACAATCTTAGCAACAACTGAGAGAGAACACATAAGACAGAGATTATGACAATTGGGGATTGATCCCTACAGAAAACATATATATTAATGGAACGAATGGTCACATTGCAACACTGCAAACTTTAGCAAGATCAGTTACACCCGCAGTTGAGGAGCTGAACAGAGAGACACTGAACCAAGTAAAACTGAAAATGAGCATCCACATTCCAACAGAAGAAACTAAAGCGTAGCAGGAAGGAAGAAGAAAAGCGTACCCAGTGGAGCTGCAGAATTCGGAGGCAAGATCGAGAATTGAAAGAGCTTGCTGCTATGGTAAGAGAAAAGGAAGGGAAGGTTGTTGATCTGACGATATTGAGGGAAAAAAGGTTCGAACTTCAGAATTTGAAATTCTGGGGAGTGTGAGTTGAAGAAAGTAGCAGAATTACCTGGTGATTAGTGGCTTTCGCACAATAAAAGATGACTGATTGAACCAAGGGCGACGGTTCTGTCTGTTGCGCTTCCTTCCTTTCCTTTCTGCTTCTTTCTTTTTCTTTCCTTCCCAATAACAGGCCAATATAATTCTCTCTTGCTAGTCTACACATACTATAATACACCGAAGGGGAAAACAGGAGCCCCATTTCAAATTTCCTGCAACGAGAGTGAAAGTAGGAAGGACATTTTGGTCTTCACAATTACTTTTTTTTATTCATTAAAAAGATACGTACTGGGATTCGAACCATGATCATTTTAAAGAAAGACAAGAATCATAACCAATCACACTAAGTACATTTGTTGTATTCTTTTAAATTAAAAACATATAATAGCAAGGTGGAAAAAACTCTTCCCCCATTTCAAATTCCCTGCTCCATGATCGTTTGTAGGAAGGGTAGAATAGAGAGTGTCAATTTTTTTCTCTTTCCTCTGTGGAACGGGCCAACTTACCGTACACATGCGGATTTAAACGGGTCTAGGAGTATTTTTTTTCTTTATACCCTTTTATTTCTCCGTGGTGATAAAATAAATATGAAAAGACAAAAATAATACTCCTTTTTATTGTTAAAAATAAAAAAGTTAACAATAAACTAATGCATGGTGTAGACACCACTTTTTGTCCGGGCTAAAACCTTTTTACTTAAATAAAATTTAGTTTTTATTGAAGATTTGCAATAGCAAGTCTTAAATGATTTTCAGGCTAAAACATATTGATAGTGCTCGAGATTGGTAGTGGTCGCCATAACTTGACGAGATTAAGCAATATACGAGATTAAGCAATAGCAAATCTTGATCGATACAATTCGATGATGAGAGTTGATTTTTTTTTTGCTTTGATTAGACGAGCGAGACATGGACTTCATTTTGCTATCGTATGAGTTTGATCATTTTCTTAAGACAATTTTCTTAAGACGGTGGGTCTAGTGAGGATTGGACTCAACTTTGGAACATCATTACATTAAAGATAAAGAAATAAAATAACAATCTTATTAAAATAAATTCCATTTACATGTACAAATACATTACTACAAAGTTGTTACATAAATGACCTTTAAAATTGTATAAATAAAAGAGATTGGGCTCAAGTCAAAGCCCAACCAAGGAGTCAACTGTCAACAAAAGTCAAAGCTGGCCAAACTGATCCGTTGACCTGTTCTGACCTAACCCATGACCAATCGAACCCAAAACCCAAGCATGGTCCAACCAATGACCCAAACCCGGTCAGACCAAATTGGGTATTGTAGCTTGCTTGCTGCCTAAGCAGCCTCTTTCTATAAAAAGAGCCCTTTGGGCACTTACAACGAGGAGGCTTCTCTGAAACCAAACTCTGCAAAAAACCACCCCCTGCAGACTCCCTCTCTTCTTCTTCTTCATCTCTTGATCATTCCCAAACTCCTTCCCTTCCAAAACACACAGCCACAGCCTGAAACCCTCTTCCACTTCTTTCACCTTCTTTTTCCAGCCACAAGCCCACCACAAAGAGACAACTTCTTCTTAACATAAGTCTGCAGAAACAGGGACACCCTCTTAACCCCAACAGAAACAGAGCAGAACAGAGAGAACAAAACTCTGCAAAATCCCACTTCCACTCATTTCTTCTTCTTTCTTTTAGCAACACACAAAACATACACAAGGAAAAGAGATAGCAATAAGACAATCTCATTCTACTTCCTTCTACTCTTAGCCGATACACCACACACACAAACAGAAGCCAAAAACAAATCCAAAAAGGACAACAAAAAAAACCTCACCACAAACATCCTCCCCTGCCGCCAACATCAGCAAAAGCACAAAGGAGGTAGCGGACAAAGAAGCTCAGAGAATCAAGGAGAGGGAGAATCATCACCCAAACAACAAAAAAGGTCAAAAAGGTTGGTAGTCACTAAAAATCATAAATCATCATCCAGTATCCATATAATGCTTAATCCAAGCTGTACAAATCGACTTAGATCTCTAAAAGCAATCCAGCTAAAATTAACTCCAACCAAATTATAAGATGGTTAATCTCACCACCATGATAACAAAATAAACAAACAAATCGGATTTTTGCTTGCTTTCTTTACAAGTTCATTATAGTTCTTTCTATACCTATATATTAGCTTTTGTCATCTACTTCATTGTTTCCACTTATCAGTATTTCCATTGATCAATCATATCACATGTTAGAAGCTACACGTTTCCTATATGTGTTTCGTTTTAGTAGTTTTACTTAGCTTTCCACCACACATACAACTAAGCTAACATAAAAACACATAAGCTACAATAAACTTATAGAAATCTCAGATTTGAAAGATACCATATTCGCACAAAATTCCAGTTAAACACAAGATTTCCATATGATTTTTCAAGCCATAAACTTCAAAATCCGAAAATTACTATGAACACCACAAAACAGACTCCCAGGTTCAAGCACCACGAGCACAAAGATTGCAGATTTACATACATCATAAAAACCACTAATTTGACAACTTAATCAATCCCAAAGTTTATACCTACATCAGCCCAACATTGTAAGAATCGAAATCATTCATGAGAAATGACACAAAGCTCCTAAGGATCTCACGCAATAGTAGTGACTTTAGGTAGCTATCAGGTTTACGAACTATTGTCATTTTAACACAAATCTGGGTTTCCAAATCATAAACCTAAAACAATCAAACATTAAAACTCAGCATACCAAAATAATAGCTAAAGAACATACCAAACATCATTTTCTAATGCACAAATAGCATTCATTTCCAACCTTGAGAACTCCTACCCACATCAACTTAGGATAGAAGTCAGACCCCTTCAAGTAGAGTCGAAATCAAAGGCATAAAACGAGCCCTCACCTCATCCTGTCACCGGCGTTACTGTCCTCGGCGGCGGTGCAAGTCTCGGTACTCGCCTTTTCCTATAGCTTCCGAGGCCATAAAATCAAAACCCAAAAAGAAGCAAATCAGAAATCCAAACCCAGAAATCTAAAGCAAAACAAGATTCAGTAGAACCTAAAAAACTTACCACAGGGATACCACCCTGCCGTCGTCATCTTCGTCGCCGGCGAGATCCTATAATAGCGCCGCCGAGTCCCTTTCTTCCATTTCCTTCGACCAAAACCAGAACCAAAACCCCAGAGATAATAAAACATAGTCAGAACCCCAAACCCGAAAAGATCGAATCACCAAATAAATCGAAATCGCCAAAAGAACCCCCAAATACGACATGCAAGAAAAAACCCGTCTTACCCTCACTGCCGCGTCCATCGCCGGTAAGTCTCTGACCGGCGGGGATCCTCGTTTTCCCTTCCCTTGACCGAAAGACAACCCTGAAATCAAAACTAAACAACAATCAATCCCAAAACAACAAAAACCTCAAAAACCAGACATGCAATCCAAAACCATCACTTACCCCTGATCGTCGTTGACGCCGTCGTTCCCGACGTCGCCGAAGATGGCACCGGCCGTCCTCGCTGATCAATCACCGTAAGTCGCCGTCCGGCCTCTGTTTCCCTTGCTCCTCCATCGCCCCTCTCTGCCGAGAGCTACTTCCCATTCCCGCCTCGATCAGGCCCAAAAAAAATCCGAATCAAAACACAAACAAAAACATGCATTAGAACTGAAACACTCGATCAAACCGCAATCCGACCCCATAACTCCCCTAAATCGACATGCAAAACCCAAAACCCTACCTCTGACCATCATTGTCGGCGTCAATCGCCCACAATGCCACTATCTCGGTCTATCTCCGATGATTACTTCACGTCGGCACCAGAAGAGATAAAAAAGAGGGAGAGAAGCAGATCGAGATGAGAGGTGAGGTGAGGAACAGGAGAGAACTGAGAAGAGAGGATAAGGTCGTTTGTGTTTTTTTCTGATATGGGTTTCTACTTTCGAGAGCGTAGTGAGAACGAGGGCGGCTGCCGGCTGGTGCTAAATGAGTTTGGGTTTCATTAGGCTAAAATTAGTTTACATGCCCGAGCCTCCTAAATGACTAAAATGCCCCCTCTAATTAGTCTATACTTACCCGTTGCCACTCGGTCCACAGAAAAACGAAAAAATCACCAAAATATTATTCCTAATCCTTTCCGGCTTTTGAATCGTTGACCCAAGGATCGACTAAATACACAACAAACACCACTTCAGACCATTTATGCTATCCCAATGTGCATATTAATCTCAATCAATTTTGGAGTAAATCAACTTAATGCTTAACTTACTTGTTAATTATTAGAATTCCGTAGCAATCCCAATTAACGACTTAATATTTAACCTACTAAAAAAGATTGACTCTATTTTTGAATATTTGTCTACATATATATATTTATTTTACGAAAAATCCCTAACACGAGAAGTCGTGTTCAATAGAACGTGACAATCGTATCACCAAATTCATCAAAATCATCAATAATTCAATAACTAAATCACCATATAAAAATTATCTTCTAAAAGAAAACTCAATATAAAACCTTAACACGATCAATAGAACGTTTAAGGTTTTTCATATTCAATCCTTCAACATAAACGAACTACGTGGACTTTGATCCCGATTACTCGGGTACGTAGGCAACCAATAGGTTCGAGTCCAACTAATTAAAAAACTCTTTCTTCGCTTTTGAGATTTTACATCAATAGATGTATGCTCAAATTGTAGTAACAAAATACTTAATTGAATGCAATAATATGTAAATAAGCTATGAATAATGAAACACTCAACCTTTAAAAAACTTATCGGTTTAAGTAGTTCCCATTTGGGGCGTTGTGGGGTGTGAATACACTTCTCCACACGTAACCGTACTCCCGAACCTAGAATGATCTAAAATTCGCAGACCAGAATTCTGGTTTTAACAAAAAATTCAAAACTGGAAATGGGTGTTCGATCCACCACAAATAAGACCGATGGCGACTCCGAGCGTGACGCGACGGATCCCCCGATCCGCAGGGGCGGTTGCGACAGTGGCGACTCCGCTGGGGAAATTGAGAGCCGAGCTAAATATACTGAATCGATAAGTTTTTCTTACCTTCTTTAATATGTGGGTGTGCGCATTTATAATATCGCGTATTCAAATTTTTGCATTCATGCATAAAAAGCTCTATACCCGAGTTCTACCTTAAGAAACTGAAAGGAGTACCATGACTCTTACAATAGTAGGAGTCATGCGAAACTTTCTAACCAAGTTGAACTCAAATCCGAGGTTGATTTGGGGTATTCGGCTAGCTCGAAGGAGCTATAGACGGATACAACTTGGGAACCAATATTCTAGAACTCATTACCCAGCATATAGTCAGCCTAGAAGCCACTTTGAGCGATCCAGAAAAATTGCCAAGCCACCTTAAAGCATTATCGTTAAGCCCTTTGAATTTCTAGGTTGTCCCAATAGGATGACGTGTTTACGATTCATGTTATTTATGACATAATGACTTGTGTTTTATTTGTTATTAATGAATGACGTGGTTAGATGCTATGAAAATTTTTATCAATAATCATGACATTAGCATTTTTTCATTAATTCATCATTCAATCATTCAAAATAAATCATGAAGGTAATGTTGCGAGCATTCATGCATCCACCAAAAATTTAGCTTGCATACGCACATTCATATCATTTAGCTTGAATATCATATATTCATCTCATCTAACAATTAGGAGTATCTTAACAATTATAAAATCACGATCATCTTTTAAAAAATTGATCATCCACAAGGAAAGTCAGACCTCACAATTCTCGATCAGATTCAAGGTTGTGCTTGTTATGGAGTCATTCCAGAAGAAACTTGATAACTTCAAAAGAGGGTGGAACCTTCTTGAAAAAGTGAAATAGCACGTTGGCATATTCATGAGTTTTGTCAGAAAGTTTGGAGAAAAATCGACATCAGCCAGACAATACCTCAACAATAAAGCACTGCCAAATCATGGAAGTCAGTAGGCACGCTATGAGGCAGGGTTTAATTCGAGGATAATGTGGACTCATAGTCAAATAAATCCCGAGATACTTTACCATATTAAACCAATGTATCAACCTTTGCTTCCATATTGAAAAATAAAAGGTCATTTGCATTGCCACCTATTTGGAACATTGTGTGATTGCTACCAATCTTGATTTAGATGTTTACATCAATGGTCCTTCTCCTTTCAAAATGATGAGCATCTTTTCCAAAAACTTTAAGATCACCTTGTTTTCACTAAAAATGGGAACCATAAAAATGTATTTCATGTGTTGAAGCCATGAGATGTTCATATTAAGCAACAATAAGCACTCCACTGGTGTCGAGTGATTATAAACACCCTACTGGTGTCCAAAATTTGAACCACCCACTAATGTTGAGAGTGTGCACACATTACTATAGTTGAGAGTATAAGCACCCCACTGGTGTCCACAAATTATGTGAGTTAAATAGTTGAAGGGTGCAACGGGGATACGACACTACGCTACTTGTAGAAGCTTGTCACACCATAACCGATCTTCTCCTTCAAAGCAAGACTCACAAGAAACCAAATGTCGATATCATAATAACCAAGTTCTAACAAAGCCCTCGTGGCTTGAAGATTGGAGAGGTTGAACGATTCGATTGACAACCCACATCATCAATTGAGTAATGAATATCTTCTTCAAGAAGGAAAAGACCAATTCGCCTATCTAACAAGAAGTCAACAGATTTCCTAATTCTTTGAAGTTGGTGCACAAAAAAGAAGCCCTGAAATTGCATCATGTGTGGGGGTATGACAAGTAGGTCCCACGAAAAAAAGGGCAAAAACGGCCAAAATGGCAAGTAAAAGAATTAAAAAACAGGAAAAGCTCGCGGGACTTACACGTTAGATACCCCTATACGAGCACGTGAAGTCATAATAACTCAAACTCGTCACGAGTAAAAGTTACTGGCCACCTTTGCTAAAAGGATCAAAAGGTTGAGTTCGAGCTTACCATCGATATGGTCACAAGAGTACAATGTCTCAGAAAATATCCTGAGAAACCCTTAATGAGAAGGGTTTCCAATACAAGAATATTGACTTAAGCTCAAGTACAACCCATGATTATCTTCAACATCCAACACTTTCAAGTCAAACAAGAACCCCCGTGATAATAAGACGTGGCAATCATGACTGCCACACAAAGGTCTTCGGCATTCATCATCTCGAGACCCGATGAGAAGTTGAAGTCTGCATCATACCAATACCTCATTTATCCATCCTTTCAAGGGATAACAAGGACCACAACGAATTAGAATATTTCCATAATCTAATTTCTACTCAGATTATCTCAATTACTTCCCTAATCGAGCTTACCCCTCAAAACTAAAATTTCTAGACAAGGGGGCAACTTGAGTCATCCCTCATATATCGATCAACCAGCTTCATACTTTGGGGGCAAGTCAGAATCCCTCAACAGGAAACTTAGACGATGAGGAATGTGAGACTCATTTATCCATCATTCATTCGAGAAAATTCAGCTTTCCAAAACTCAAATGACTCTGACATACAAGGGTCACCTTCCAGAAAAGTTCCAGAACTCACGTGACGAGACAGCACAGAGATTACATGAAATCTCCATGATCAGCAACTTATACCTCCGACACATTTGTCCATCAACTTGGTGACAAGAATCTTGATAGTAGCCAAAGTGTCGTATACTCGAAGCACCCATAGGAATGAGTGTGAGCGAAATTGAGCGTGAGAATGAGAGTGAGGGCTTGTGGATATTCTCATGGCTTGACTTCCGAAAATAACGAATTTTTAAACATGGTGACAATAACCACACAAGAAATCTTTTTCTCATGTTGCACACACTTCCCTCAAGCAAGGCTTTGATTTCTAAAGTCAGGTTCTCATCATACTTTCTCAAATGAGAATTTCCAAACTTTGTCGCATTCATCTTAAGTCAAGATTGGTAAAAGTCACATTTTGTTCCGAAAAGAGGAAAACAAGTAACATATCTACGGGGGCAAGGTGAGAAGACCCAGAGTAGAAGCAGTTCAAATACCCATGAAGTGGTTCTCCAAGTCCATCAACTCACGAGTAAATGGGGAAATCTCAGATATTCTGAATCATTCCGTTCAAGCTACCCAACCTATCAATCAAACTATCCTTCAACAAAATATTTTGTACATCATACCTCTCGGTGAAATCAATCAAGCATGTCTAGAAAACCGACATCAACAAGACAATACCCCGAGATAAAACAATCCTCTTAGCCAAGCACGACATGCTCACATGGCAAGAAGATCAATTAAACTAAATGAGCACACTATTGTGATACCACCATGCTACAAAAACCTCCTGCAACATCAACCTACCAAGAACATCTCATGAATAAGAAAATCACATGGCTAACACATCAGCCACTCAAACACTAGTGTCCAAGGTG